AGCTTGCTGTCTGACCCACTGATCTCCAGCAGTTGTTTTTATTCTTTCAATGTTCTGTACTCGTGAGTACACGTTTAGTCTGAAGACTGTTGTGACACAGTCATAGTGTCTCTACCTGTGTTCCAGAAGGCTTTGGGGTTCAAATCCCACCTGGGCCAGACATGTCGTGTTCTGAGCAAGGTGATACTTGGGCTCTTGTGGTGCAGTGGTAATCTGTCTGCCTGCGAGCCAAGAGGCCCAGGTTCAATAACATCCCTGCATAGAGTTATACAGCACAGAAAGAGATCCTTCAGCCCAACTTGTCCATGCTGACCAGTTTTCCTGAACTGAATTAGTCCCATTTGCCTGCATTTGGCTTACGTCCCTGTTAAACCGTTCCTATTCATGTAGCTGTCCAAATGTCTTTGTCTTTTAAATATTGTAATTATACCTGCCTCTACCAATTCCTCTGGCAACTTGTTCCATATATGCACGACCCTCTGTGTGGAAAAAGTTGTCCCTTAGGTCCCTTTTTAAATCTTTCCCCTCTCTCATTAAACCTATGCCCTCTAGTTTTGGATTCCCCTATTCTGTGAAAAAAGACCTTGGCCAGGCTGATTAGAAAGCTGACAAGCTTTGTATGCGCAACCTTTCCTCAAATTTTAACCCGAGGATTATTCTAGCAAATGTACACTGCCCACCTGTCATAATTTGTCTTTCCCAGCCAAAATGCAGTCACTGCAAATAGGATGGAGGTTAAGACTGAGATGAACAGAATTTTGTTGGAGAGAGTATGGAGGAAAATGGAGCAAAGTTTGCAGCAAGAGACAATATTGTAATGGCACGTATCAGCCTGTGTCCAACGGCGCCATGGAAAAGGCTTCAGTGGCATCTAGCGTTTTTCTTCTCTCATGAATGTAAAGTTGGGAAATGAAATTGCTCTTCATCTAATATCCAGTATATGTTTCTCCCCATCCACAGCCACAACCACAACCAAACATGAAGAAATTGAAGAAAGGAGCCTCTCAAAGACCCAGCAGTCACAGCAAGTCTAAAACAAAATTGAAAGCTGGAAGTCAGAACTAACCCTGGGAACAGCTCAGCCATCCCCTTCAGTGGTCTGGTGCAATGTGCTGAGTATTAACTGTACAGTTTCAATTTGTATTTGTGTAGGAAGTAAAGCATACATGAAACAGTGAAGCTGTGAGCATGTTTGTACTTTTTTGTTCAACTGTAACAGAGTCCTTCCCTCTCCTGTTAATGATGTTGGCTCAAAAGGATAGTCTACAAAATTATTTCTATAACACAGCATCGTAGCTGCATCTGCTTCAAAGGAGGATAATCAAACAAAATTTGATGCTGTCATGAGGAGATACTGGACAGGTGACCAAAAGACTTGGTCAAAAAGAGAACTTGTAAGGAGCATTAGGGAAGTGGGTCCAAGCAGCTGAAGGCTTAGCTGCCAATGACAGAATGATCGAAATTGGGGATGTTCAAGGCCAAGGTTGAAATAACGCAGATGAGGATTGCAGGGCTGGAATTGAACGGTGAATTTCAAAACTGGCTCCAAATGAAGCGATGCTTTAGTGTTGGTTAGTGAGATAGGGCTGCTGGGTGATGTTGCGATGTGGGCACTACTGGATGGACATGCGATGACTGAGTGAGGGGTTTCAACTTGTACCTCACAGCAGTGACTAGGAACAAGTACTGCAGTTCATGTTCTACCCCTGCAGTACCTGGCTGAAGCTGAAATAACAACATTTAAGTGCTAGAAAATTCCATGATGATTGAATCATGGTTTTACTTTCGTTCCTGAATATAGGAAAAGCTGATCTTCATTACCTCTTCCTAGTGGAGCTTACAACTAGGATTTGATGCAGCAATGATACCTATATCTAGGTGAAGAGGCTAATATACGGAAGTACTCTGTGCACTTGTTGCTAGGCTGGTGAGCTTGGGAGTTATTGTCTTGCAGTTGCTAATTCAGAACTAAGAACAAATCCTATTCTTTCAGTTGAATAACAAGTGGGATGAATGCTACAATGCAGAGGGGTTGCAGGGAAATTCACAGCTTTTATTTTAACAACAAACTCAATAGCACAATTTTCAGTAGAGAATAAAGGTTCCTAGGAGCTTACAGTAACCATTACCCACTGGTTTGGAGCTGCTGTGGACACAGCAACAAGAACTTGATTCCAATCCAGTGACCTTGAATTCCACATCAATTTTTTTTTTTAAAAAAGCTGTGTAAACATGTTCCTGGCAGAATACAGGTGCCCCCTGTACCACCCCTTGCCCCCACCCCAATCAGGCACATCCACTAATACTGACAGTTATTGCACTGAGCTTCTTCAGAATAAGAGTCCATCTTTATTGCTGTGTGTATAATATATATATATATAAATTATTTTCTATCCCTCCTCTCCTGAAGTCAACATTTTGTCAGGAATTTCCAGTTCATTGGGTGCTGGCTGTCTGTTTCAGCTTTTGAATTGCAGAGGGCATCACAGTAAAGTTTGACCCTTGTGTTCCACACAATTCCATGCAAGAGTCACTTACGTGAGGAGCAGGGGGTGAATCCTGGGGTACCTGGACATTTTGAAAGTATTTAATTAAAACAGAAACAATTTGTACAGGGGTCAGCCATGAAGTGTCACCCTATTCTGCCACTGTGCAGGGTTGACTAAACACTAGTAGAATACCAAGATGCAACCACTGTTTTAAAAAAAAATAGGAACCAGACAAGTTGAGAACACATTTTTGGAAATTACAATGTATGCAGTGACAGCAAGAGTAATTTTAAAACAAGAATATTCAGTGGTAGTATTCATTAAGACCAAATCCATCATTAACATGATCAGCATTCCACTGCAAAATTCACTTGGAAATGTAGCAGATCAGGTTGTAGACATGCTTGCCGAGCCGGTGGGGTCAGTTGCAAATGTTTCGTCACAATGTTGCAAACAAACACATTGAATTAGACCCTGTGTACAAACCGCTGAGAAACAGAACCAGAAGGAATATCAACCACCCCAGCAAACTGAGGCATATAAATGATAAGTGGGACAGAACACCAACGCTTCACCAGAGGCGCACTGACGATGTTACCTAGCAGGGTGACAGAACATCTGCAACCAAACACACCGGCTCGGCAAGCGCATGCACAACCCGAGCTACAAATCTTCTCAAAAACTTAATGTAGCATATCATTCACTCCCAAGGTAAACTCTTCACTTTCTTGTGGTAGTGGCAGAAATATTCAGCATTGTCCCTCGATTGAAGGGGCTGTCTGTGTGTAGCACAGTTTCCACAGATATCTTAACCAACAGGGACACTATGTAGGAGCCTGGAGATTGATGGATAGGTATTGAAATATGGTGGAAGGGAATTAAGCCAAACCCAGTTTCCTTTAAATACATCTCAGCATGCCTTTACTTGCTTGCACAATTGGATGAGGACCAAGAATCCGGGTTAATTTCCCCCTTCTTAACCCTCAGTGATTATCCAAGCAATTGAGTCCAATCACTTATCTCCAAATACACAGCAGGGAAATCAAACCCGTGCCCTTTCAGAATCGCCTGACCTGTACATCAACTACACAGGCAGCTTGCATTGCCCACTTTTAAACCTTTAGCAAGAGGGCCTAGGGCTTGGTAACAGCCTTCCATGATCTCTGCTTCTACTTAGAAAAGCTTTGGTCAATAAAGATTACAGAAACTGCATTCTGAGAAGGAATGAGCAACATGGCATGTGCTTGAAATTGGGACAGGCAGAACCAGGGATAGCTTTTAAATAATAGGGGTACCTCATTTTGGCACAATTTAGTGTTCTTTTATATAAAGGATTATTGTTCTGATCCTATCAGAGAACATAGCCATTTTTAGTGAAATGTAATTAAATAAGGAGTTGTGGATGGCTACAAATTGATTCAGAGGGGCTGGGGAAACATTCCAATTCCCTTCCTCCTGGAATAAGAAAACGCAAAGAGAACTAACTCTGCACAGTAGCAGGAAACAGAACCAGGATTTAATTTTAACCTTTTCTCAACCCCTAAAAAAAGAGAGGGAGTTAATTCTTTAATACACAGCCAATGTCAAAAGTATGAACCTGAAATACTTCTCTTTTTGGACATTGTAAATTTGACATTGTCTTTTATCTCTGAAAGCCAAAATAAGGCTGTGTTTTGTAAAGTTACCAATGAGCAGGTGGAGCAATATATGCCCTGAATGAGAATGCATTGAAATTGTAAACTGTACAAAACAGTGGAGAAGGATGGTTGATAAAGGAAGAGGGGAGGGATGAAAGGTGGTGGGGTGGGGACAGGGTATGAGGATAAAGGCAGGTGAAGGGTGGCAGCAGTTTTGCAGATGTTACATCAATCACCACTCTTTTTTCTTCTCATCCATCGACACACCACCAGGGCCCAGCGCAACCACAAGCAGGAGCCCCCCAATCACAGACATGCTCTGGAAGAAGTCATATTTCAGGAAGTCGTGCATGGGCTTGTAGGCAGGGATTGTCCAGAAGGCATTGAAGTAGAGGTTAAGACTAAAGAGCCAGATGACCAAAGTCAGAGCAGCCAGCTTCGTTTTGAAGCCGATTGCCACCAGGACGATCAAACCCGTTCCCACCATGTTCTGGATAATCTACAAAGAGAAAAACAATATACACATTCTAGATTCAATGGGAACATAACCCTAATCCTGACCACGTTATTACACCCTTCTCCACCGCAGTGCTGACTCTTGCTGGGATTTCAGGTTCAGAAACCATTTACCCAGGTACAACTAACTACTCAGCCACATGAAGCACCACACAACACACAGAATTACTGAAGCAGAATACTGCAGAAGCTGGGAATCTGAAATAAAATCAGAAAACAGTGGAAACTATTAGCAGGTCAGCCAGAGTCTGTGGGGGAGAGAAACTATTAACTATTCAGGTCTGTGACCTTCATTCAAACTGGGGGAAAAGATGTAATGGGTTTTTATTGCTACCTCAACTGTACCCCAGTTTGAAGATTACATTTGGTCAGGGCTGAAAGCATCTACCATGGGTCTTCAAGTGACAGAAGAGTGCATGTCACACCAGCTGTAAGGACAGACAACAAGTGCAGCAGCAAGGTGACTTCAATCATCACAGCTTGACACATCATTGGAGTCTGACCGTTTAATGACAATTCCCCATGGTCTCCACTTCAATGTCACAGGGTTCACTTGCCAAGTCCTGTGGTGATGGAAACAGAGCTACGAACCTAGGAATCCCTAGTCAAGCATTTGCACACAGGTGACAGATGCATGCAGGCCACGAGTGCTGGGTCTGAGATGTCTTTTGGCAGCAGCATGCGATGGTACTCCCTTTCAGAATACTCCCTACTCACCACATATGGAGAAGGAGTTAGAAAAGGTGTCCTAAAAGGAGGTTGCTGCACTTTCACCTGGGGAACACTATCTTAGTGGTCAATGAAAGAACACTCAGCTTTTGCAACTTAGAATGTTAAAACATTCATGGTTAACCTTGAGGGCAACTGTCTGGGAAGAAGAGCTGCAAATGCATACGTGAACTATCTAGACTCCAAACTGACATCTGTCTCCATTAAGCCCCATTTTCCTGGAGAGGGGAGCTGAAGGAACAAGTAGAGGATACACTTTCTACTGGAAAGGCAGCACTGGCAGCAATGCTTAGATCCACGGAATTCATTTACCCATCCTGTATAGGATCTTGGATGCATTTTCAGAATTCCCCAATTGTATAAATGAAGGCTTATAACATTACAACTTTAGCACTTTGTGTGGATACTGGAAAGCATCTTCTCCAATAGGACAAATTTCAACTCTCAAATGGCCAGTGTTCTGGGGAAAAACAATGAGAATAGCACCAAGGCACTCTGAAGCTCAGCAGCACTGCAATTTATGACTAGGGGGAGCTGTTGTAAATGGCAACCTGCCCATCAATCTACATCACACTTTGAATCAAAGTGTTTTAACGCTGAGGCAGAGTGGCAGCAGAAAAGGAAGCAAATCCTGTACTCCAGGTTCCACTACCTCATGGGATGTCCTGCCCCACCCCATGCGCCCGCAGATCTCCAGGTCAAAAACCAGCTTGTTCAGTCACAGTAGGATCTCAAGATCCAAAGTAGACATTATTCTCAAAACTGGGAGTAGCAGACAACAAAGGTTGGAACCTATTTTTGGCAACATTCAAGGACAGGCCAAGATACAGTAAGCAAGTACAGAGGGAGGGTACAAAGAATAACAAAGATATGAGATAGCCCAGAATGCAGGCGAGATTAAAGGACAGAAGCAATGATGTTCCAAGGCAAAACAGAGTAAAAATAATAACTCAAAAGTTGTGCCAGAGGTGGTGTAAGTGGAAGAGCAGAATCAAAACTGAAATAGTATCAGAAGTACCAAAAGTGGAGGAGAGGAGGAATTTATTCCATCCGGCATGACTGGGGCTATACATACTCAATTTTTCAAGTTACTGGACTGTTTTGGCACAAGGATTGTGCTTTTCAACTAAGTTAGTACGTTCCTGTTGCGACTGCCATGTGTAATTTTTAAGCATGTTATTAATAAACATACCCATCACATTCTGACAACCCATCCCAACATGCCAACTCCCAACTCACCGAGAAGAAGCTGGCGTTAAAATGCAACAAGGTCATGAACATCAGGATGAGCAGCACACGGCCCCCCAGCTGCATGTATTGTTTCGGGGAGCTTTCGCCGATTGTTGGAACGCCAGCAAACATGCTTTTACCTTCTGACCGGGACTCAGCCAGCAACAGCAGCAAGCCACCCCCTAGAGCCAGGTTTCTAACCAGAGCAAAGAGAGGGACAGAGTATTAACCCAGGACATCAAAACCCACGTTCCAGCATGTTATAAAATATAAACAGTGACAGCAGTTTTAGCTTTACCTGTTTGTTTCACACCTAGAAGGCACGGACACCCCTCCCCTCAACACCACCGTCTGCATGCACATGCAGCCACCACTCGTAGAAGTTATTCATTCTTGGGATGTAGGCGTCATTGCTGATACTGACATGTTTGACCATCCCCTAACTGCCCCAAGACGACAGTGGTAAGCTGTTTTCATAAATCCCTGGCTAGCAGGTTTCAGACAATTTCAGAGGGCAGTTATAAGTCACGTTGCTGTGTACAGTCACATGCAAGCCCAGACTGGGTAAAAACAGCAGGTCCAGATCCTCTCAGGTCACCAACTATCCCTGGAGTTCTCCCCAGCACCCCACCGCAATACTACTCTACCCTCTCCCCACATCCAAACCCGTAACCATCCTATCCGAGCCTGTCTGATGCTCCTGCTGACAAGTCTTACCTTCCTTGCAATGTGTTTCATACTTAAGTGTTATGAAACATGTTAGGTAGTTTAATGGTAGTCTCCGACCCCTCCACTAGTTCTTGCAGATTCACTACCCTGTTCCCCTCAAAGTTTCCTTGCTTGCAAGGGAGATGCTGGAGTGCGCAGCAGAGCAACACTGCTGGGAGAAAAAGGGGAGGTGGCAGACAGGTTGGGCGGGATGGGGCCGGAGTGGAATACGCACCTCATCAGGAACTTCAGGTCCCATAAGATACTGTAGGCAACAGTCTGAAATCAAAGAAACAGAGCAGTTAGTGCACACCCCAGCCTCATTGCAGAGTACAGAGGGACAGTGTACAATCCACCCTAAAAGGAGCTTTCCCTAACTTGGCAAAAGGCACGCACAAGAGAGAGGGTGAATGAGTGAGTGCAAGAGAGTAGGGGAGAGAGACTGTAAGACCACAAGATATAAGGGACGAATTATGCTATTCAGCCCATCGAGTCCGCTCTGCTATTCAATCATGGCTGATGTTTCTCAACCCCATTCTGCCTTCTCCCCATAACCCTTGATTCCTTTTACTAATCAGGAACCTATCTTTGTCTTAACTACACGCAATGACTTGGCCTCCACTACCTTCTGTGGTAATGAGTTCCACAGATTTACCACCCTCCGGCTGAAGAAATTCCTCACTTCAGTTATAAAGGGTCGTCCCTTCACTCTGAAGCCGTGTCCCCCAGATCCTACACTCTCGTCCTAGTGGAAACATCTTCTCCACGTCTATCCAAACCCATCAGTATTTTGTAACATTCAATGAAAACCCCCTCTTCCTTCTGAACTTCACTGACTACAGACCCAGAGTCCTCAACCACTCCTCATATGACAAGCCCTTCATCCCCAGGATCATTGTAAACCTCCTCCGGAACCCCTCCAACACCAGCACATCCTTCCTTAGATACAGGGCCCAAAACTGCTCACAATATTTGAAATGTGGTCTGACGAGAGCCTTATATAGCCTCAGTAGTACATCTTTGATCCTGCATTCTAGCACCCTTGAAATGAATGCTAACATTGCATGTGCTAACTACAACTGCACGTTAACCTTGAGAACCATGAACCAGGATGCCTAAATCCCTTTGTGCTTCAGATTCTGAAGCCTTTCCCCCTTTTAGAAAATACTCTATGCCTTATTCTTCCTACCAAAAGTGCATAACTCAGTTTCCCACACTGTATTCCATCTGCCAGTTCTTTGTCCACTCTACTAACCTGTTTAAGTCCTTCTGCAGCTCCCTGCTTCCTCAACACTACCTGTCTCTCCACCTATTTTTGTGTCATCTGCACTCAGAGTGCAAGCAAGCAGAGCATGATGTCAGTCAGTCAGAGGGGCAGCAAATATTCTGAAGGAATGCTCCTAAGCCAATAAGAAGGTGCTTCAAGATTTAATTATTAAATGGGGTTGGGACCTGGAGCCAGAGCAGGTAAATGGAGTTGTAAGAAATATAGTCATAAACTAATTCATGTGACAGTGGAGGCTTCAATGCCTTAACACTGACTCAAACTGTGAAGCTGTGCAGCATAGGAGAGGAGACAGGGCAGACAGCCTGCATAGTAAAAGACCACAAAAGGTGAGTGGACACATGGAGATAAAAAAAAAGTGCGCCATGCTCCTGTTTAAATAACAGCAATAAACGGTATGGATAATGGCACCCAGATGAGAAATTTTAAATAAAAGTCCCATGTTAGATGTAGTATTCAATTATGGTTGCATTAGAAGGGAGTCAAATCTGTATAACTCAGCAGAAACACCAGAAATATGATAAAGAGTGGGATTCTGGGCTGATATTCCCACGAGTAGAGGCTGACCTCTGTCTCTGAGCTAATGACAGACAGATGCCATTTCACTCCTCACTTCATCTCTGCACCATCATAAATTTGATAGTTTTTTTGAGGGAGGGTGTATTAGTTGTTAAGTGCAGTTTAAACTTTTTTGTACAAAATGATAATGGTTTCAGAGAGACCAGACTCCAGCTACAGGTCTCAGACTCAAACTCAAATTACAAATTATTAAAAGTAGTGAAAGAGATCTTCCTTATTACCTGCAATCCTATAATTCCAAACAGTCCAAAGCAGGCATATTGTACAAAATTTCGACTTAATATCAGGATACATCCACCTGCGGAGTAGAAGACAAGTCAACAGACCAAGACGCAGCATAAAACAGGGTGACAGTGAAAAGAACTATTGACTGCCTCTTACCTAACTGTCCAAAGAGATTGATCAGTACAAAGCAGATAGCCAGGAAATAGCCACAATTCCAGGTGGCCTCGATATAGTCCCGCTGCTCATTCCACTGAAACCACATGCGTATCCCATCCTCCAGAAAGGTGCTTATTAGACACAGGCGAGCAAGGTGAGGCAGATAATGCTTGGTCATCCGCAGAAACTGCAAATATATAAAACTGAATGAAAGCAGTGAAAGAGCAAACAAAGTACAGCTCAACTACTGCAACAGCTTTGGGACCAGTACACTGTCCAGTCTCTCTCAGCCCCTTTGTACTGATCTCACGAGAGACAGACCCATTCCCACCCCAGTAACACCAGTGTTATACAGTTCTCTCCCCAAAAAGTGCATGGAGAAGAACCACAGAAATAATGTGTTTATGTGCGTGCACCTGTGCCTATGCGTTGGGGAGTTGGGGGAGAGAGAGATCTGGAAGACTTGAGGCACAATCCTCAATGAATATTTTGCATTGGTCTTCACAATGGAAATGGATGACTCAGGTGTAGACAAAAAGGTGGAGGACTACTTTCCAAAGATACACAAAGCCAACGCAGTTGGACGTCCCATCGTTTCAAGCAATGGGACCCCATGTAAGAACCTCTCTGGCTATGTCGAGGGCATCTTGAAACCCATTTGTACAAGGAACTCCCAGCTTCTGTCATGACACAATAGATTTCTTACAAAAACTCAGCACCCACAGACCAGTCGAATCAGGAACATTCCTCATTGCAACAGACATTTCGAAACTCTACACCAGCATCCTCCATGACAACATCGCTGCAAAAACCCCAGTACTCAATACCACCAACTGCCAATTTCCAGACTCCATCCTACAACTCTTCTGCTTCATTGTTGACCACAACGTCTTCACCTTCAACAATGAGTTCTTTATCCAGACACAAACAGCCATGGGGAGCAAATTTGCACCCCAATATGCCAACATTTTCTTGCACAAGTTCGAGCAAGACTTCTTTGCTGCATAGAACCTCCAAACAATGCTATACACCAGATACATTGACGACACTTTCTTCCTTTGGACTCGTGGCAAGGAATCACTTAAATGACTACATTGCAATAATCAACAAGTTTCATCTGACCAGATGTACCATGGACTAATCTTCAGAATCAGTCTCATTCTTGGACACACACATCCCCATCAAGGATGGACACCTCAGTATCTTACTCTCGCACAAGCCCAAGGATAACCTCATGATGCTGCACTTCTCTAGCTTCCACCCTAAACATATTAAAGAAGCTACCCACAATGGACAAGTCCTGCACATACGGAGGGTCTGTTCAGATGAGGACGAACACGACAAAAACCTAAAGAATCTGAAAGACACCCTCATAAGAACAGGATACGATGTTCAACTCATTGATCATCAGTTCTGACATGCCATAGCACAAAACTACAATGACCTCCTCAGAAGACAGACACAGGATATGACTGATAGAGTACTCTTCATCATCCAGTACTTCCCCAGAGCGAAGAAACTACGTCATGTTCTTCACAGCCTTTAACATGTCATTGATGGCGATGAGCATCTCACCAAGATCATCCCTAAATCTTCAAACAACTGCCAAACCTTAAACAGATCATTGTTTGCAGCAAACTGCCCAGCCTTCAGGACCACATCGACCACAACACCACACAACCCTGCCATGGCAACTTCTGCAAGGCATATCGAATCATCGACATGGATACTACTATCACACTTTTAGCGAAGTTTTAGCAAAGATCTGTAGCTTGGATTGTGCATGAGGGTGTTGACTTGCTCGCCAAGCTGGCTTATTTTCATTAAGACATTTTGTTGCCATGCTAGGTGACATCAGAGAGGCCTCCGATGAAGCAATGTTGTTCTACTCCGCTTGGAATTTATACTGTCTGGTCTGTTATGGTGAGTAGTGTCATTTCTGGTTTTGATCTGTATGCAGTTTGTATATGGGCTCCAATTCTAGATGTTTGTTGATTGCATTACTGGTGGAGAACCATGCCTCTAGGAATTCCCGTGCGTGTCTATGTTTGGCTTGGGGTACAATGGTTACCTTGTCCCAGTTAAACTGATGGCCTTCGTTGTCCAAGTGTACGGATATTAAGGAGAGTTCGTCGTGCTGTTTTGCTGCTAGCTGATGTTCGTGTATTCTGATGGCTAGTTTCCTTCCTGTCTGTCCAAAGTATTGTCTGTGGCAGTTGTTGCATGGTATTTTGTAAACCATGTTGGTTCTGCATGTTGTGGGAATGGGGTTTTTAATCCTCAATTAAATAGAAGACTATTTAAACAGGCCAGGACACACTGCAACACTCCGGAACTACACAGGAAAGAGGAACAGCACCTATACAAAACTTTTGCCATGAACGGATATACCCGCAACTTCATCCGCAGATGCCTATTAAACGAACAACAGGAGGACACAGTACATCCTAACACACCGGTCACACTGCCCTACATCAGGAACATATCGGAACTGACAACAAGACTCCTAAGACCACTAGGAATCATGGTGGCCCACAAGCCCAAAGCCACCCTATGACAAACGCTCAAGGATTAAAAACCCCATTCCCACAACATGCAGAACCAACAAAATACCATGCAACAACCGCTACAAGCATTACATTGGACAGACAGGAAGGAAACTAGCCATCAGAATACACGAACATCAGCTAGCAGCGAAACAGCACGACAAACTCTCCTTAATATCAGTACGCTCAGACAATGAAGGCCATCAGTTTAACTGGGACAATGTAACCAGATGATCTGAAATCAGATGCACAAGATGCAGGGATGAGAGTTGGTGAAAAGCAAAAGCCTGAAATTTTCTGACAAAGAATCTAGTATCATCCAGAGCTCTCGCTTTTTAAACAGCGTTAATGCTTAAACCCCACTCCCACTTCCCATAATCTCAAAACACCCCCACAGCCCGTTCCACCCCGGGATGGGATTTTTCATTGAATCATACAGTACAAGAGGCCCTTTGGCCCATCAAGACTATACTGCCAAAAATATGCTACCTACACTAGTCCTATTTACCTGCATCAGGCCCATAGTGTTGAATATTGACATTTCAAGTGCTCATCTAAGTACTTTTTAAAGGTTTGAGGTTTCCCACCTCAACCAACCTCCCAGCCAGAGCATCCGAGACACCCACCACCCTCTGGGTGAAAATGCTTTCCCTCAAATCCCCTCTAAACCTCCTGACTTTCACCTCAAAATTACGTACCTTGTTACTGACTCAAAAAAATTCCAGACACCTGACAAAGCCATGCTGACCAAAGCTTGCCTCTCTGAATGAGGATTAATTTTCTCCTCCACTATTAACTTTTAATAGTTTCCCTCCCATTGATATTATATTCACTGGTCTATAGTTCCCTAGTCTCTCTCTACCACCCTTCCTGTAAAGTGGAATCACATTAACTGTCCTCCAGTCCTTTGGCACCTCTCTTACGACCAGAGACAATTTAAAAATTTGGGTAGGGGCCCCTACAATTTCCTCCCTCATCCCACACAATTCAGCTGGAGCTGGGGATTTGTCTACCTTTAAATCAGCCAAAACCTCCAATACCTCCTCACTTCTTAGATCAATCTGCTCAAGAGTTTCATAGTCCATCTTCTTGAATTCTGTCCTTGCATATGCCTAGAGTTAAAAACAGATGTGAAGTACCATTTAATCTTTGTGCCCTGTGATGCTGCCTTGTGACCACAATTTCATACTCCTGTCACCAGTCACCAAAGGACTTCCATCCAATCCAGGATTAACCTACTAGGAGAGGCTCAGGCCTGAGAAGTGTTTAAAAAGGTGGAACTCAACACTCAGTTGGAATTTAACCAAAAGGCAGAAATTTCCCATTCTTGAAGATATCAGAATTACAGCAGTGCAGAAACCTTGAAGTATTGAGAGGCTGAAAGAGATCAGATGTGGAGGTGTAAGACCATGAAGAGTTTCATAGAGTCACAGAATTCCTACAAAGTGGAAGCAGGCTATTCGGTCCAATAAGTCCATAATGACTCTCTAAACAGTATCTCACCCAGACTCATCCCCATTCCCTATCTCTGTAGCCTTGCACTTCCCATGGCTAATCCACCTAACCTACACATCCCTGGACACTAAGGTCAATTTAGCATGGCCAATCCACCTAACCTGCTCATCTTTGGACAGTGGAAGGAAACCTGAGCACCCGGAGGAAACCCACACAGACATAGTAAGAATGTGCAAACTCCACACAGGCAGTCGGTCCAAGGCTGGAATTGAACCCAGATCACTGGTGCTGTGAGACAGCAATGCTAACCACTGAACCATTGTGTCGCCCCAGTCATTAGGGCAGGGACTAAACTTCAGAAGCACTTAATTGGGCTGCTTGAGGTTCATGAAAGGCACTATCAAAATATAGAAACTCTCTCCTTGTGACTACATTTTCAAATACT